AAGTGTATGTGCATGTGTGTGTGTGTGTGTGTGTGTGTGTGTGTGTGTGTGTGTGTGTGTTTGTATGTGTTAAAATATCCTCTTTTCCAGCTTTTACTCTCTCTTTTCTCATTCACAACAGGTTCCTCCTGCTGTCATTCAGAATAAACGACACAACGCCCTTCATAATCATGCAGACTAATGTGGAGCAACCCTCGCCATGATCTCTGCTGACAGCATGCTTCAGGCTTTAGTCATAAACCCATTCCTTTGAGCTCCAGCTGAATCTCCTCAAACCATTTCATGTTAATTTGGAACAATTTCAGGTGTATGATTTTTCACAAGTCTATGCAAGGGAGACACAGAACAGTTAGAGTTAAGCTACATTGTGCATAAAGGTACAGTAAGTAAGATTTTTACAGTGAAATAATCACAAATCAGTCTAATGTCTCAGTCATGTTAGAAGGAAGGTTACAAGGAAAGAGATTTCCTTCTCAACCTGCTGGGGGTTGTCAGTTTTTGTCCTTTTATAAAGGCCAAAGAGGGATGTAGTCTTTGTTTACAATCTGTAAGGCTGCAGGGTTGCCAAGTCTGCAGGCAAACACTGAGGCACCGGCAATTGTGATTTGACATCGGCCGGCAAAAAGCTACAGAGTTGTGGACAGAATGTTAACCAGTAAACAGGTGCAACCCAGAAGTTTTTTTTATACCACCAAGAAGCAACTGCATCCTTTTGTTTTACTCTAATATTGGGTAAAGAAGGCTAGAGGCTAACATGGGCTAACAATGCTAATGGTGAATTAGAGGCAAATAGTCAACTCTAAAAAATATCTGAAGCAACTTTTTTTCATTACCAACAACTCGATATTACAAATAAGATATTTATCTAGCTATCAACTTACTGTGTACCTCCTCATCTAGAATCTTCTGGTACTGATCCATAACCGGCAACAGTTGCTCAGAGGAGACTCGTTTGTTTTGATATATGGAATACAGTATCCACATTCATCCACAAGATGACATTATTACATCATGCAACTTTAACCATCTGTAATTGCTGTAAATTTACTAATATAATTAAATGTTTTGTCCACACCTGTTTTAAACCATACAATTTCACTGTTAATGTCTCGTGCCTCTATAGGGGAGCACTATTTTCCCTACATCTACATCCTTTTCTATGTCAGAGAATCTGAAACATCTCCAGCCATTTCCCTGTGACCAGTGTGGGAAACGTTTTACTCAGTTACGGCATCTGGAACATCACCAGATCCACACAAGAGAGCAGCAGTAATGTGTGTGATCAGTACAAAGTTCAACCAATATTTTACTTAAAATTTGTTCCACACATATGTGGACAAGTGGACAGATTTGAAGTGAACATTCTGAATATCTATCTACAACTGATTAACACGTCTCCCTCAAAAAATGTAATTTATTCCCAAGGGCCTTCCTGATAAAATAAAGGTTTAATAAAACAAAATAAGGTGTCTACCCAATTCAAGGATGACAGCCCGCCAACAAAAAAGGGTTTTTTGTAGTTCAACTGAAACGTTTATGTAAAAAAAAAAAAAAAAGCAAACAAGCAGGATGGTACCCATGAACTAATGTTTTGCTGAGCAACTCGTTAAAGCTGCTATAGCAAATTTACAGAACAAGCAAGATTTTAAATGCAAACATGGCCACGGAACGTTCACCCCTCTCCTCGGGTATCTTCCCTGAGAGACTTCTGCTGGAATTGGAAACCTGCATTGCCAGAGAGGAAACAAAAAGGCACAAAACACCAGTCACTGTTTTCTCAACACATTCTCACACCCGAAGTGTTGAAAAATGACGCTGGGTGACCAAGCATTTTTTTCCACTCTTTGCCAGAATGTCAGTTTCTGACACCCGCGATAAAACGCACATTTCACCAACATTTAACCTCTAACCTCTTGCTATTTAATCTTCCCCTTACCCCCATTGTAAACCTTAAACCTGTTGCTCATTCTAAAGTTCCTGTTAACTGTGTTGGAGAGGAACATAACAACTAGGAACAAAGTTTTGAAAGCGCAAGAGGGTTAAGGTTAGGATGGGGGTGAGGGGAAGGTTAAATAGCAAAAGGGTAAATGTGAGAATTCTGTGAAATCTCCGTTTTACCGTGGCAGTCGGAAACCGACACTCTGGCACAGCGCGTCAAAAACAAACGCTTGGTCACCCAGTGTCATTTTTCGCCGCTTTGGGTGTGAGATTGAGTTGGTTTTCTACGTCCAAAGGTCTTTTGTTGTCCTTGACTTCAAATGGTGTTTTACTTTTTTGTACTCTGGTTGCTTGTCTCATGGACGTAATTTTTTTTTTTTGGGGGGGGGGGGGGGGGGGATGGGGGACATGTCAATTGGGTTGGGTTGACATGGGGGACATGTCCCCCCCAATTTTTCCAAAGTCAAGTTTTGGCCCCTGCACTTTTTACCATCCAAAAACAATATTACGCTATATTAAATTGACACTGGTTGAGCTCTAGGACCAAGCCGAAAACAACTGTTTGTGTTGAAGCCTGTTTCCCATTAGAGCATACTGTAAAGATACGCCCCCCCCCCCCCCCTCCCCTTCCCCCGTGTCCCCCTCACTTCTAAAGTGAAAATTACGTCTTAAAGTTGAAATGGAGGGTTAGGGTTAGTGGCTGTTTCTCCTTCTCTGATTCTATTGAGCGCAGAACCTCTCACAACAGTGGTGTTCTGTTTCTAAATACGCAAGTGTGTATTGAATGGAGGACCTGAGATTGTGCAGTGGTTCGGCAGACCGACAACTGGATGGTCCAATAGTTGTTTTCATTCGAGCCGTGTTATTAGCAGAGGTTTTTAGACAAATGCGAGAGAACACCTTTATAAAAAATTTTTAACTCCACAAAATATTTATAGCTACAGTATACTATGTTAGAACGTAAAGAGGCACAACGAAAATGTTTTAAGCTTAATTTGTTTTCCACATTTGCTATAGTAGCTTTAAGGTAATCACAGGTTGTCCATCCCTCTATGACCACAGTGGACCAATCTTCTGAAGGCTACTTTCAGCAGGATAATGCACCATGTCACACAACTCGGATCATCTCTAACTGGCTTCTTGAACAAGAAGATGAGTTATTTCAGCAACACCAAGAGTCACAAGATCTCAATGCAGTCCAGACCTTTTGGGATGCTGAACAGGAGACAAATTGATTTAATTGTGATGCTATCTTCTCAATATGAACCAGAATCTCTGTAGAACATATCTAACACCTTGGTGAGAAAAGGCAGTTCTCAAGGTTAAAGTGGGTCCAACTCAGTAAGGTGTACCTGAAGTGGCCAACAGATGTACAGTAGATGGATTTTAAAATGCATTTTCATATATTCTAAAAACTAGTTATGAAAAGTCAAAGATTTGTGGTGTTCCTTAACTTGAACCTTTTTGCTTAGAAAATCAGACATCAGCTGAGTTTCTCACTGGATCCAATTAACAAAAATAACCAATAAAACTCAGTCCCATGGACTTGAGTCGACCAAAACTTAGTACTAGCCGGTGAGGATCCGAACATGAAGCTTCGGGGGGAGAAAAACAGAAAAACGTGAATCAGCGCGCACTTCAAACACGTGCGCCTTCGAAATGAACACGTGTGTGATGTGTGTGTTTTTGGTTTAAGGGGGGTTCGTATTCTTTTGCTCGCTTTTTCTAACGGAGAGCTGAAGTGAAAATAAACTCAAACACACTCCTGACAGACAAGTAAGCGTTACACAATACTCATGATGTTGAACAAAGTAGAAGGTGTGCTAAAAAATGAGCGTTTCGGACTGGTAAAGGAAGTTCTGGACTGACGGGATTAATGCTGCGTTCAACTTCATCGGAAATCTTTGACGTGGAAGTATTTGAATCTTGTCTGAACCCCAAGCTGCGTGTACCAAATACTTTTTGTGATATTATTAGATATGCAATAGTGGATCTGACTCCACTAAATAAATAAAAAATGCTCTAAAGAACTTTCCAAAAATTTCTCAGTAAATCTTTGAAACTACCTTTAAAGTAAATGAAATTTTAGTGTGGCTTATACAAGTTATTTTAGGAACTTTTTAAAACTATACTACACAATATTAGCAAACTATACAATATTACATTTCTCACCAGGTCCAATAAAAAAAGTCATATTGGTCTCAAGATTTATTTTATTCATCTTATGAAAACAAACTATAGGCAAAAAAAATCCATTACCTGATTGCAAACCGATAATGATTCAATGAACCAAGAGTGAGAGAGAGAAAATATAAACTATGAATGTTAAGTATAATATGTAATAGCACTTGGAAACTAAGACTTGTCACTTCTGCTCCTGCAAAGAAATTTGTCTTTGATCTTAATTTATGCAAAACATCATTATCAAGTGAAATTAAATGTAGTCTAGATGTCCATAAAATAACATTCACATGAAGCTGTTTTAACGCACCAAAATACTTTGATCTCGGCAGCGTTCCAACTAGCTGCTAGCTCATCAGTCTTTAAGGGTGTAAACTCCGTTTCTCTGCTGTTCAGAAATCTATTTTTACTATCAATAACTTTTACACAAAATTTTATTTATTTTTATTTAACCTTTATTTAACTAGATGAGTTGATTGAGAACTCATTCTCGTTTATGGCGATCTGGCCAAGAGGCAGCAGCAACAGACACAATTACACCAAAGAGCAACATACAGATAAGATGAAAACAAACAAGATAAAAAAAAATGTTAGACATAAAGACAATGGACTGTTCGCAGTATGCACAAGCAATTACATTCGACTTAAATCTGTCTTTAAGTAACATAAACATAATTCAAGATGGCCAAATGATTCAAAGAGAATTATGAGCCTTAAAACAACCAAAAAAAACCCATAAAACTCCGATACATTTTCGATTCTCAAAGAAGTTACAGACTGCAACTTTGCAGACACGATTTTTTACGAATAGCTCCTGAAAGCATCATCCTGAAGCGCGCTCCCTGCGTTTACGTGGCTACTCCTCCTCCACAGCGTACGTGCGCGCACTCCTCTATCGCGTGGTGGAGATCATCCATATTGCTGCTAGTGGTGGTGATAAGGTTGTAATCCTGAGAGGCCCACTGACACGTTTCTGTAGTTTTTACATGTTTTAACTCGGCGCTGACTGCTCCGCGTCTTAGGCTGAAGCTCTTTTGGTCGAGGGGCGACAGAGGAGCAGCAGACCGCGCGGAACAACTTCACCGTTCCCTGAAATTGAAAGCTAAATCGGACCAAAAAGGGGGAGTTAATAATCCTGAAGGGGGAAGAACGACGGTTGGTCGGAAATGGCCACTCAGGTGGAGGCTCTCCTGCCCGGCAACCCGCTTGCCACAGCGGAGGAGCACGGTAAAATGATAGACGGTGAGCCGGAGGAGTTGGAGGGCAGTCGGGATGAGGGGGCCCAGCAACTGCAGACTGGTGTCACCGATAGCAGCTCCGTTCAGGGAGGGACCACCGGCGCGGAGGAGCAGACCTCCAAACGGGCGGTAGAGCAGAGCAAAGACGGAGGTGACAGCGAAGGCAAGCAAAGCGAGGAGGGTGTAAAAGACAACAGCAGGAAGGAGTTTACCGAAGCTCCCCCGCCCAAGGTGAACCCGTGGACTAGGAAAATGAATGCGGTGACCGTGGTCAGCGTGAACGGACAAGCGCACACCGGTCGGTACCCTCCAAACATGTTCATCTCTCAGCTGTCACTCTTCTCTTCTTGGTGTCTCTATGGTCACGTTTGGTCGCTTTCATCCGATGGCTCACTTAGCTTTTATTCAAATAGCCAATTAAAAAGACTCCCAGCGCTGTCACTCTCATATTTGGAGTTAAACCCCCATCCTCCCCCTCACAGTGAAGGCTATTCTTGGGGTCAATGGGTGGCAGACTGTATAAGTAGGCACACCCTTTGAAAACAATTAAAATACTCCAAATATTCAACGATTTGACGTCGCTCTATGAGTAGTGAGTCATAATGGCTCTTGTTTACTTTTAGCATGACTTAAGGTCTAAACAGTCATCTTCTAACACACTTTGAAAGGTGTAATTTACTAATTAAGCTCTTTGTGCTGTGGATGTGAATGTTTGTGTCATCACACCACACAACGTGCAGTCGTTTCCATTCGGGGACCGTGGATTCTAGCATTCTAGTAATATGCATTCTGCTTGCAAACACTTGATACTTTATTTTAAAGGGGACATGCTAACAGCTCTTGTGTCTTCGTGCTTTGCTCATGTATTGCTGCTTTGATTCTAAACACACGCACGCACTCCCATCGGCTTAGCTGAGTGTTTAGACTAGTTTTTGCTTGTGTTTACATGTTCGTTTAGAGCAAACCCATCACGCCAGCCATTATCTGACTAAGACGCCCTCATTGCATCAGTTAGCAGACTAAAACTCGAGCCAGTACGGATTGTGTAGCAGCTCAGCCGGCTAACAATAGCACACAGACTCCCCTTTGGCCTAGTCTGTCGCCAAACCCTTCCCACTCAGCCTTGCTTCAGTGTGGCTGCTTTCCCACATCTAGCTACGGCGAGAAAATCAAAACAGTTGCTCTGCCTATCTGGGATCCGTTTTCGATGCAATAAAACCAAACATTTACTCGTTTAATAGCTTAAAAGAAGCAGGATTGTTGTGAGGCGTCACGTGCTCATTCCACGTGTTCCCCGAGAGAAAAAGCATGGTGCTAACTAGTTAGCCGAGTTACTGCATCGAGTCTGAAGCTACAATTTAGTTTAGAGCATCAAATTTGAGACAGTCTGCCTGTCTAGTGGTCACAGAGCCAGCTGTCATGTCGTGTATCTGTTGTCAGGACAAACCGAGGTCCTGTCTGTTGGTTCACACTGCTAGCTAACGTTAGCTTGTTAGCAATTCAGCAGAGTCATCATTACCTCTACTTAAGGACGCTGTAGTTACTATTACCTGTTTCTTTTGGATACCTTGTGAAGTTGTGCTACAATAAAAACCGACTGATCAAAACTAACAAAAATGGTGATTGTAGAGAAAAGTCAGTGTTAAGGTGCAGATACATATGGCTAAATATCTAGTGCTGGGCGACACCACCTCAGCATTATTGTATCCCAAGACAACAAGATTTTGCTCGTTTAAATAACACAAAACAAAAGTGTGATTTAAACTGTTAACTCTCCAGGAGTACTCATAAATGTCATCTATGAAAAAAATGACCTCACAATTCAAACGCAAATGTAAAAAAAATAAACGACTACATAAGCAAACTGGCTGTCAAGAGTATAAACATGGTTTGGATCAGCACAAAACCTCTACCAAATCATAGTAATGACAGAAGCTCAAATCATGCACTGGTCTTTATAATAAACGTTTTTATTGATTGATCATCGTAGTCATTTGTTTACTTCCGAACCTTATTACAATTCATGTTTTAGCTTCAAGAAACACTTTTCCTTGTTTGTTGTGTAGTGCTTATGTGGAGCTTTGTTTTGTGGTTAAACCACTTTAATTTTTTAGTATTTTCAGGTTTTAGCTAACATGCTGTAGCTGTGACCTGCTAGCAGCCTGGATTTTCTGTTTTTTGTGTTTGTTCCAGATGGGTTTGTTTGCAGCTATGAAGTACGTGTAACCTTTGCAAACTTCATGGTACAGACTGTACCCAGGATCTGAGCGAATTGGCTCCAAACGCTGTCACATTAACACAGACTGGTTGGGCCAACCAGGCAGTAGAGGCACTCTTTGTTTTTGTTGTATTTGAAAGCCAAAAGATGTTAAAATGCACATGATGACCTGGTTTGTTGGTGCTGTGTGCAGAAAAGTTGTTCTCAAAGGTTTTATTTTTCCAAATGGGCAGCATTTATTTAGAATTTGAGTGATTTTTAGAAATACTGGTGGGTAAAATTCTGCACCCTGTTGTTTTGCTGTCAACCATGTTCTATGTTTAGAAACGGGATGTGTAACATTACCAGCTGCAACTGTCAGCTTTTCCCTCACACACTTCATTCAAGGCTGCCTTTGAAAATGACAAATAATCTGTAATATCCCATATTTATGTTCATTTGGCACAAAATTATTGAAAATGTGTGCATGCCAAAGATGTACAGTTGTGCAGTTTTTCTGCTCTGATCAAATACACATACATGGAGGAACTAAAGTATTTGAACACCCTGCGATTTTGCAAGTTCTCCTAATTAGAAATCATAGAGGGGTCTGAGGTTCACACTGTAGGAGCATTCCTACTGTAAGACAGCATTTAAAACTTTCAGGAAATCACATTGTATGTATTTTAAAGAATTTATTTGTGTTGCACATAAGGATTGTAGCCCACTCCTCCACACACACAGATCTCATCTAGATCTGTCAGGTTTCACGGCTGTCGCTGAGCAACAAGGAGTTTCAGTTTCCTCCAAAGATCTTCTAGTGGATTTAGGTCTGGAAAGTGTCTAAACCACTCCAGAGCCTTGATATGCTTCTTACAGAGCCACTCCTTGGTTATCAGTCTGTGTGCTTCAGGTTATTGTCATGTTGGAAGACCCAGCACGTCATGTTGGAAGACCCAGCACGACATATCTTCAATGCCCTTGACTGAGGGAAGAATTTTGTTTCTCAAAATCTCACAAAACGCTGCCTCATTCATCTTTAATGCAATGCAGTCGTCCTGTTCCCCTGCAGGAATGTTCCCCCAAAGCATAATTTTTCCACCTCCATGCTTTACAGTAGGGCTGGTGTTCTTGTGACCCCCCCCAAAAATAAATAAAGCACTGCAAGTTAGGGCTGTAGCGAAGCCTCGACGAAGTCGACGGCTCGATTCTAAAAATTTGTCGACGTCAGATCCGGAAGTTGACGCACCGCGCCCACTTGTTGCATCCTCAGGAGTTTGTAAATAGAGGAGGAATCTGCCTGCTTTTCCTCTAGTTCGCCTTCTTCTCCGCCTTCACTAACATCTCCGCCAAATACCGAAGACCCGGAACAACGTCCGTCCTCTACTAGATTATTTTCCTGTTTTGCCCCTTCGTCTCCCGGCAACGGACAACAACTTCCGGGGTCAGATGCGCTGCTTCGTGTCTACCGCAGATGTAGAAAATCACTGGGAGCGTTTCTCCCTTCATTAAGGAGCTTCTTTCAGACATGAGGAGAGCTGTTTTGGTGGTAGCAGTCTCTCCTCCGTGCTGGTCTGTTTGCTGCTGGGTGTTTTTGGTTTATTTAAACTTGGTAACTTGAACTTAATGTTGGTAAAGCTACTGTTAGCATCTTCGCTAACAGCTTCTTGCGTTGGGATAAGCTGTTACGTTTTGGTTTAGAGTTCATCTTTTTTGTGGTGTAGATCTCCCTTTTATTACATTTAGAGTGTTGTGGGTTTTCGGTTTAGTGTAAAATATCACCTGAGTTTGGTTTAACCCGTAAGACCACTCGCCTCACGCACATAAGTGACCAAAACAAAGCAGCATGGAGACACTCCATCTTCTACCACCTCTCAGGCAACAGCCTGCACTCCCAAGTTCTACACGTCACCAGAACATAACCAACCAACACAATAAAAGCAGTGTTATACAAAATGGAAGGCCTGTAGTGTTTATTCTCTTACAGTAAGAATTTATCAATTTTTTTGAGGAATTTATTTGAGATTTTCTGGTTTTTGTTAATTGTGCAATAGAAAAATAATCATTAGATTAATTTTCTAAATAGTGATTAGAATAGTCGACTATTCAATAAAATAATCGTCAGAATAATCGTTTTAAAAATAATCGTTTACCCCCAGCCCTACTGCAAGTAGAGTTCATACCCAAAAGCTCTGTGTTGGTCTCATCTGGCCACATGACTTTCCCCCATGCTTCCTCTGGATCATTGGCAAACTTCAGATTGGCCTGGACATGTGATGACTTGAGCAGGGAAACCTTCCATGCAATTCACGATTTTAAACCATGACCGTGTGGTGTTCTACTGACAATGACCTTTTAACCTGTGGTCCCAGCTCTCTTCATGTTATTGATCAGCTCCTCTTGTGTAGTTCTGGGCTGATTCCTCACCTTTTATATCAGTGACACCCCACCAGGTGTGTTGCTTTTGTGGACTCTGAACCACATTATTTTATTGAGCTGTGTGTGTCTTCATAATCTTGTGCCATACACACACTGATTTCTCCCCTGAGCAGCTGTCTGCTTACCAGGACAAGAGCTCCGATGCGGAGAACAGACGCTCGCGCGCGAGCTGCTGATCTTCTGTGGGCTCCCTCAGAGAGCTCCACAGGCAACAAGCACAGCCTCATAACAGAGGCGGGCCGCGTGAGTCCACAAGTATATTAATGTGCGGTTGAGGCCATTTGCGGAGCTAGCCACTAGTGCTAGCTCTGATGGCTCATTGCTACTTGTCAAATCTAATATTCAAAATTTCCAGTTTATTACACCTAAACAGAAGAGTTACTAAAGATTCACCTCGTCTGAGTTGCCATTACTGTAAACTAGATCTAATGAACCTAAAATGGATTTTTGAACCAGGCTGTAAATACACTTATTCCTGCTGTGAAGCTGGCATTTTTTAACAATGAAAATGAAAATGAAATTTTGCTCCGTTTTGGAGCCAACACCTAGCAGATGAGGGGGGACAGCAATTTTTGCTACTTCCTGGTTGGCTTCATAAAACTGAGACAAAGAATTCCCATTGGTTTAAATTTGCAGCCTTGACTGTAAGGGCAAACAGTTTT